AACTTCCCTTCAGAAAATGTGCCTCATTTTTTTCCAGTTATTCATTGTGAGCAGAAAGATTCCTACGTGCAGGAGTACAGTCAGGACACATATAGTCAGTCAGCCGTTTCTTGGCAGGAGTAGTGATGTAGTAAAAGTCATAGGGCTTCTCCTCTGCTTGGATCCTAGACGAGGAGAAATTCTGGAGTAGCAGTCATCAGAGGAGATTAGCAAAGAAGTTGTTTCTTGGTCCCAGTCAGACTGGAAACGTGAAGGATGTGCCTCAGGTGAATAATACTTTTGCCTTGAGAACATTGACTTGAACTTCCTGCTGTGGAGTTCCTTCACGTCGGAGGTAAGAACACTGAAGAGCTGGCTCAGTCAGTCAGTGTGCCCTATGAATTACACTTTCATTTCTTTTACAAAGCAAAACAGTTCTGAAAGCAGAGTAAAAGATGCGCTCACAGTAACTAATAGCCTGACCCGTAAAGTACTCAACATACACTAATCAAACTGTGGAACTTGAGCCTCTTAGGTACCCCATGAATATTCAGGCTACTTGCCTTATGGTGTAAGGAGGATTTTTTTAAATTGTTTTTTTTTTTTTCATTCCCTGAGTCTGGTTTTGACCAGATCTGGATTTAGAAACTCTTCACAGGAACATACCGTGACCAATGAGAATTTTCAAAATCAGTGGGTTGGTATCTTACAAAGATTTATGTAACTCTGTCCTCTTTTTCTCTTGTTCCTATTAATATTTAATTATTTATTTTTTTCTTACCTTTCAGATATCAATAGCAAAATATATTTCATTTATCCCTCACAAGTAAGTAATTTTTTTGATAGCCCAGTTTTACATACTCATCAACAGCAGTAGTATAAGGAGACATGATTTATGTAGCAGGAAGAATGTGTATGAATGTTTGGCACAGCTGCATCCTCCAAATGTTTTGGCCTTGAGCTAGATTCTGCAATAAATGTCTTTTCTACAGATTTGTATTGCCCTTTATAGACAGGTGATCAAAAGGGTTTGTCCTGGCTTTAGGAGGTTTTAGATGTTTTAATAATATTTCTTTTTACAAATCATTCATTTAATCTGACTTTGTGCAAAGCTGTGTAATTTGCTGTCATTAATGAGACATTTTTGAATTGAAAGAGAGTAACGTTTTACTTCAGGGTAGTGTTCCAAGTATTTTTGGAGGAGTTGACATTTCAGCAAGCCCATTTGCACTGGCCTGACTGCCCAGACTGTCCTGTTCGGCAATTGTATGGGAGCTGCTGCATGTGAATTTGCAGCAAAATAACTACATTTGTGGATAAGTAAAATGAGGTAGATATGGTAGGAGTGAGTTTCTAAAAAAAGGCACAGGTGTGGTCTAGCAAGAAAATGCTTGTGAAAGGGCTTGGTTTTGTATTTTATGGGGTGACAGAGCCTGTTTTTAATCGTATCTTTCATGTGCTCTCAAATCAATAAGTACAGATGCGTTATTCCCAGGTGTGAGGGTGTGTTAGAAATCAGTTGTGTTTCATGATGTAGCTCAGTTCCTCTCATGAATTCAGTGAAACAAATGCACCTACATATCTACTGGTTAAAGATTCTTTCTCATATATCTTTTACGTGCTGCGTTTGGAGTTGAGGGTGCTAGCTTCTATAGATCTTTGAGCTGATCTTGTGTAGATAGGTGCTTTTTTAAAGCAGACAAACCAACCCAGGCAAGAGGAACCTGCGGTATCAATTAGGTCTCTCATATGCATTAACAAATAACCCTCTTACTGTTTGTGTTGTAAAAATTGCAAAGTAACAGGAGAAATAATTGGTTTTGATTGCAGTGATGAAAGCACTGCAAGACGTGACCTGTCTTGTAGCTGGTGGAGCTTAAATGATTAGTTACATTCAGGAATGAATGCGGTGTTAGAACAGGGGTGTGTGCGCACCAGCCGTGACGTATTTGTGACAGATTTAGGTAATGATGAGATGTATTCTACACCAGTGGTATTCTGGTGGGTTTGCAGATGATCGTACTGGGAACACGCTGCAGTCGCACTGGCTACCGGCAAAAGGCGTTTTAGGGCCAGCACAAAAACACAGACTTGCTCTTTATAAACCCCCAAAGAGCGATGAATACGTAGGAGCCCGGGTGTCGCTGGCGGGAGGGGCGTTTTCTTAAATGCTCTTGTTTCCCTTCACTTTTACCAATCCCTCCTGCTCTCTTCAAGTTTCATTTCCATTTTTGGGAACAGCAAATCTGCTTGTATCCTTGCTGTTACCTCAGTCAGTGACTAGGATGATAACTAAGACTGTAATTCAGCTTAAAGGATCTGTAGGTCTGCGCACTGATAATGCTGTGCTGCAAAATGTTTATCCGTGGTGGCAGACTAAGCTCACCATTACTGGGAGCTCCAGCTTCTGGTGTATGTTGTTTCTTTAGTTGTAAATACCTGCGGATAGATTCCAGCATGCTGTCTGTCTTTTAAAACTGTATCGTCATCTTCTGGCTCTTGGTACCTCACGAAAAATAATTTAAAATTACTGCTTCCTAACTCTTTTCAAGAAATGTGTGATGGCACCTTTCAGTTAAAATACAGCTGCAAATATCTAAAATATAATGAAGGGTGTGTTCATAAAAACGGGTTTCTCAAGGCTGTCTTCAGTTAATAAAGAGACAGAAGATGAAAGCAGGAGCTTGATTTCGCTACATGTGTCTGTTTTTCTTTCCCTCTCATCTCCCTTTCTGCTTTCCCTTTTCCTTTTTCCGTGTTAACAGTACAGCTAACCAAGGGAAATTGGGTTCCACAACGTAAAGCTAGCATTTCAAAATGTTTTTCTTCTTCTTCCCCCCATGTTGTCAGCATGGCTAGGGGACGGGGAGATAAGCTTCGATGTAACATCATAGTATTGTTTTGTTTGATTTATTTTTGTTGATGCTTTGAACTGAAATTGGCCAAAATGTTATTTTTATGGTACTCACTCTTCCTTTTCTCTCCCCCTTTGCTCATTGCTACTTATTTTACAGCTAGAAATTTGCGTATCGTTTTCATAAGTGCATAACAGAGATAAAATACAGGGGCTGGCTTAGAGCGGAACAGCTTGTACTGCTAAGTCATGTTGGCACATTTATCATTTGGTTATTCTCTGATTAAGAATGTACTTTTAAGGCTTTATTATCTTTACTTCAGTAACTTAGGTTGTACCACGTTTTTCTGCATTTCACCGCTAAGTATGAGGGCAACATTTTGCGTCTGATCTTGGTTTTATGAAGTCAATGAGCCTGTAGCTGTAAATGAAGTCGATTCAGATTCAAGTTCTTAATGAACATCCATTAACGGTTCTCTGGAATGTGATAAACCTGAGCTGGTGAATTACGCGGCAGTATTCTCTTATTGCCTCTCATTATTTGCTTTAGAGATCACTGTAACCTGTATTTAAGCAGAGAACATTTATAAAGATATCTGAAACTGAAGCTCCACTGAGAACTGTGAGTGTTTGATGACATAGCTTTACCACGAGAATATGCCATGTGGTATGAACCTGGCTGGTTCGCTTTCTGCTAGTGTGTTTATAAATCACAGAAGCAGCAATCTGTCTAGACTGATAACATGTGACTGGGAACATTTTCCTGCTAATACTGAGGAAATGGGGGTCACTTATGAAAATAGAACAGTTTGTGGCCGTGTTTCTTTTAAATGCCTGTGTTAAGCCTGAGATTTGGAACACATTGTTACTTTGTTAATACACGGGAAGTTACAGCACAAAAATCCCTCGCTGACCTTCTTAAATTAATCTCTCCAGCATTAGTTATTTCCTTATTTTCGCTGGGAAGGCAGCAGAGCTTAAATGCGTGCAGCATGTTTAAGGGGCGAGATTGGTACTCATAAAAAATTAATTGCAGTCGAAACTAGAATCAAATCATCTTAATAGAAAGGAAAGTTATTTCTGCTTTGGGGTGCTGCTGCGTGTATTTGCCATAACTATGTACGAGAAAACTGCTGAGAAAACTGCTGTGCAGTAAGATGCCAGCCCTGGGGTTAACCCTCTGGAGTTTTTGCTGCTGTTTGAAACCAAGCTTTCAGATCTTGGGGATTCTGTCTTTATTTTGTTTTAGGAAGGTTGTTTACTTTCCTCACCCGTTTTCTAACCTGTTTGTCTCTATAGAAATGCTTTGAAATGGTATATAAATGCACATGCTCTCTATACTTAGATATAACATTGCCATTTTCTTATATAATCTTACAAATCTAACCACTTGCATTTTTTCTCTGGTAATGTTCAAAGATAACTGTTTTAATCTGAGCTGTAACTGGTACCGTGATATGTTTCAAGCAAAAAAATGTATCAAAGCACTGAACAAGGATTAAATTTTTTTGGTTTTTATTTGTTGTTTCCAGTTTGCTGTTTTCATTGCCACTGGGTCCTATGCTTCAGTCAAACAAAATTCCAAATTCAAATGAGGAAATTAGATCTGCATAACCATTACATGTCTGTTGCAATCAGGGCATTTCTTTGTGGCATGACAAAAGTCCTTGGCTTCTAATTGTGTTGTGAATCATAATCTCATGGTCTGTGAGTATAAGCAGAGCTTAAAAATTTCATATTGTAGTGGATAGTGAGTAGGAAGCTTTCCAAAGATGTGCCTTTGTTTCTGTAGAATGTAAGCTTCAATAAATACAGAATACACTCCCAGTTAACTCCAGTATTTGACAGCTCATAGGTAAAACTACGAAGATAGCTTATCCACAGCAAGACAGTTTCTTGTTGAATGGTATTTTTCTTTGAACCAACATGTCTAGTGGTTGCTTTAAAGCCCAAAACTGTAGTGAAATGTGGTGTGTACGTAGGTATTACTTTTAAACAGTTCTACAAACTGAAGATAAGGTGGTGAAATTCAGAATCGGCTCTTATTGGCTAAATTTGTATTGACATCTACCAACGTACTGCAGGCTCCAGTGCACAGAAGCTGTATTATTACTGCTGGAACAGAGACTTTTTTCTTTTTACTCAGTTTTGCATGGTGCCCGACATAATGGGGCCCGAAAACTGCTTTGGTAATATAAGTAATAATTCCTGCTCAATGTACAATAACTTCGTGCGAGACCTGTAAACAAAACTCTGCACTTCTTGTATGGTATTTTCTAATATTGCAAATGAGCTAAATCTAAAAGAAAGGGCAGGATTATTTTGAAAACCATTTTTAAATCAACAGCAAAATACCAACTTGTTTCTCTGTAAAAATATACTCACATAAACAGACTTTAAAACTCAATTTTAAAGTTTCCATGGAGACCTAAGCTTCAGAAGTTGGCTGTATCATAGAACATGAACGTCTATGAGAAAATAGCGTTTTCATGCACTTTGAGGTATTTGAGTTCAACTCTGGTATTCTTAGGTTCTGCCTTTTATGCTGTCTGATAAAAAAAGCTGCATAGCTGAGGATTGCACAAATGTTTTCAAATAATCACAGTGAAAAAGCTTAAGTGTTTGTAGGTTCAGCCTAGATAGCTGGCACTTAAAAAAATAAAGCATTCTCCAGACATAGCTCTTAAGAAATGTGCTCTTGAGTGTAACAGCATCCTGGGCTGTGTCAACAAGAACATAGCCAGTTGCTTAAGGGCAGCGATCATCCCCTGCTCAGCATTGCTTAGACTGTGCTGGTTTTGGGACCTCCAGTATGAGACCTATATTAGTGAAATGATGTGAGTTCAGCAGAAGACCTCATGTTGTTTGTGGGCAGGAGCTCATGCCCTGGGAGGTCAGGCTTGAAGCAGCGGGGCTTGTCCAGGCTGGAGAAGAAGTGGTTTTGAGGGGACCTAAGTCACCTGCCTGTACCTACAAGAAGATCAATAGCATCAACGGTGCATTGTGGGATAATGAGAGACAAGGGATATAAATTGAAACAAGAGGAGGTCCATCTGGATGTAAAGAAAAAAGTGAGGGCAGTCAGACACTGGAACGGGTTTTCTAGAGTGGCTGCGTGGTCTCCCTGAGTGAAGGTTTTCAAGACCCAACTGGCTAAATCTCTGAGCAAGCTAATCTGACCTTATAGCTGACCCTACTTTCAACAGGAGGTTGGACTTAGAGGCCTTTTGAGGTCCCTTTCAATGCGAATGACTGATTCTGTGAATGATCGGTGCAGATTTTCTACAAGGCAAATGCTGGTGCAATAAGGATTTAATTAGTCTCTGTTGAGTTGGATCTTATCCAACATATTCCTAGTGATTTTCCAGCTGCATTTTGAAAAGCTGTGGATGGTATAGAGCATTGGTAAACCATGTTTAGCCTCCGGGATAAGCAGAAGAGGTGGATACAGCTGAGAAAAATCCTAGTTGCACTTTGGAAATTGTGTTTCTGATTTGAGCATTACAGGGCATCCAGACAGAGATGTCTGGCCGGCTGGGGCTGGGGGTGAGAGGGTGAGGAGAAACATATATAACACTTCTGACTTCTTTGCTTTTCCCATCTTCCATACCTCTCTCACTGCAGAAATGATTGTTACATTTCCTATGAGGCTGTATCTTGGAGAAAATTATCCAAAGCATGGAAAGTTTGTTTTTTCATAAACTTCCCATGCATGAATTGCCAAGTTTGCTCAAGATTATCCATAATGGACCTATCAAATAGGAATGTTTCAAAAAGTAATTTCTCTTTCAGTGGGGTCTTATGCCCTCTTCTATTCTGAAATAAGGGTTCTCTGCATCTCCCTACTAGCAGTATTAGTACTTGCATCAGCTGCAGCATTTAACATCCCACTGTAGACTGCAAAACAGATTCCAAGACTCTTACAAGACTGCTAAAATCCGTGTACTCCAGTGAGAGATTTTGATAGAGTTAAGTAGGAGAAATGTCCCCTAGGATTATCTTCCTATCTATGAAAACGAATACTGGCTGAATACAAGCATGGCGATGTTGACATTTGTTTAGCAAGAATCAATAGCAACATACTACACACTAATTTCAGTTCTAGGAGGAACAGATTTTATTGCTTGTGTTTCTCTGTGTACTAGGATATAGAATATCATTCTTCCAAAGGACAATCAGTCTTCTATTTTGTGTTGAGTTTTTAGTAATTTTGTTAAATGATTAGGTAAATCACCACCTTTGCTAGTCTATCCCTTTTCTTTTATTGATACGGCTGAGACTTTTAGAAAGAAATTATTTCATTCTTTTATATCTTGAGGAAGGTTGCATCTGGAAATAAGATCAAAATAAGATCTACTTTGCTGTAGCGTTGTTCAATGTATCTGTCATATTTGTTTTCTTACAGCGAAAGATTTTTTTTAAGACTGAATAGAAATGGTTTGCCAAAATGTCCGGAAAAGCCTGAAAGACACTGTTCTCTCTTTGTGGTGAGTTTTTCCTATTCTCAGTCTTTTTTGTGCTGGGTATTGAAAATACAAGTTGGATTAAATTACTCTGTGGTCGACTCAGAACTGTTCCCTAAGCTTGACATGAACATCAACCCTAAAGGCTGGTTGAAGTGTATTGCTCAACTCCCAACGTGAATGTTTTCTGGCAATATGTGGACACTCGTCTAAAGTTCCACATGGGCATACGTACCAGTCTTTCTCCTTGCAACAAGGACCAGCTGGTTTTCCTCCTTGTGCGTTCTACACCGAAAAGACTGTTTGTGCAGCACTCTCTGTACTTCCAGAATATTAGGAATTGCACAAATATATCGCTGCTGTTAAAGGCACGCAGCGAATCTCTTGTGTCCTCCCACTGATTTTGCTGCACTACAGCATATTCTAGCCCATGATATTTTAGGACAGTCGTTCTGAGTGCATGACCGCCAATTTGAAGTGTTAAAGGCATAATTTGTTAATGCTGTATGAATGAACTCGCTGTTCATTTATCACTTTCACTGGCAGTGAAAGCAACGTGTAAAGATCTCTTTAAACGTCACATTTTAATCAGGAATCAGAAATGATGAGGTTCTGATCTTGTGCAGGATTTGGGTAGCAGTGAACTCAGGAAGGACATCTATATCACTGTGCACATTATCCGAATAGGTAGGTATAATCATCTGTGAGTAGTAATCTTACATTTGTTAGACATATGAAAGTAAATAAAACTGCTGGGGGGTCAGCTTTGGGATTTGTTAGATTAGGTAGGCTTTTGGATAAATTTTTTTAAAAATAAAATGCCAGTTTTTTGATGGAAAAAAAGCTTTGGATTTCTCCTCGTTGTTTTATGTTATTTTTCAAGCACAGTGCTAACTGAGTTTAGATGCAGGATATTTTGTTACTATCACAAAACAAGATGAAAGTGTCAAATATGAACTGTGTTAAGAAGATCGAGTTTTCATTGGTGAGTCCATTCTTGTTCCAAAGAGAGTAATTTCAAACATCCTTTGTTCATAAGAAAAACTTGCCTGGAAATTTAATTAGTTAAATTAATTGGCTTAATTAGTATTATATACTGTCAGATATTATATATCTGATGTATATCTGAAATTGTTCCTATGAATTTTGCCTTCTCCCTGACCCCTTTAAAAAGAGGGGGAGGGAAAGAAGTGCATAAAGTCTCGTAATAATTTTAATCCTTGATGCTATAGACAGATACCAAGTCCTCTAGAACAAAGCGGAAGAGAAGAAGAGTGTATGTTTGCGTTAGGTATTTATTTTAAGTTATCCTCTGGGCTGTACTGATGTGAAACAATCTTCAGGTCTGCTTCTCACCTCTTAGTTATGTTGTTTTCTTTGTAAACTGTCTGTGTAGTTGCACCATTGCAGTACTAAATTTAAATTTTCTTCCTATTTTTGAAAGTTATTTTGGTTTGAAATACAGTTGCTCTAACTTGTGTTGAGTTCAGAAGCAACTTGTTATTTGTTACAAAGTAAACACTTTTTTACAGCTTTGAGGAATGATTTTTCCTTGCATTTTGATGCTGGTTTAGTATTTCATCAGAATATCAAAATATTGTGTTTTGTTTTTATTGGAAAGGATTGGGAAAAGCTATGGTAAACTCTGATGTAAGTATATTTGGTGAGAATAAATGCTTTAAAGAGGAATAAGGAGTAGAATTTTTCCTATTGTAGAGTTTTCAAATATATTCTTAGTCAAGTGTATAAGTGAACTACTGAAATATTAAAAAGTTAAAATAAGATTTATATGCTGCGTGGTGTGAAAATGAACAATTACTCTTCTAGCTGCTGTGATGCATGGGAATGTTTGGAGGAGGCATTGCCCTGCAGCGACTGCAAGCATCGGCTTTTCTTGTCAGAAATTAGGACTTGGTGGGAAAGAAACGTAGCTGCCAGTGCACAATTGAATAAAATGGTTAGAAAGAGGGCAGTTTCAAATGCCAGGAACACAGCGAGAAGAATGATCAATGGTATTTAAATCAAATTGAAAAGGCTAGAAAAAATATTTTATTTCAAATCTGTTTTCCTTGGCTGCCTTCTTTCTTTCCTTATCATAAATTGTTCTTCTGACGTTTGTCATCTTTCCTCCCTGTATTTTATTTGCACTTGATTTTTCTGCAGCTCGTTGATTATCCCCTTGCTAGCCAGTTGCCTGTTTGGAAGCAGCATTTCATTATTAAATTGTAATGGCGCAATCACAACACCTCTCGTATCAATCATGGCTAACAACAACCACAGTAAAATAATTCTTATTGGACAGCAAACGTTGAACACTGTCATGTCTGAACTTTAGATTTAATTTGGTGGTGTTATGGGTGTGCTATCACTGGGTATCAGAAAGTGTTGTCTGTTGAGTGGAGGTCATGAGAGGATGAGAAGTACGTCTGGTCTGAGACCTTTCAAGATCATCACATACTTAGTGGGCGTCCTGTACCACTTGTTATCTTACCATAGTGTAAAAATGGACCAGGTTCACAGTGAGTACACTTGGCATCATCTACTCAGACCTGTCACCATACTGAGCTGGATTGTTCTCTGCCTCCCTTCTGTGGATTTAAGAGACTGTTGCAGGGATTATACATCAAATATGTATTTTGTCTGGCAGGACGAATGGGAGCTGGAGAAAAGAAAAATGCCTGCAACGTACAATATAGACGGCCCTTCGGCTGTGCAGTCCTCAGTATTGCAGATTTGCTGGCAGGAGATTCGAAGGATGACCTCGTCTTGAAAGTATACATGTAAGGAATGCTTTTTTCTTAGTTTTTAGAAGTATCTTAGAGTCAGTTTGTATCAGAAGCAATGGTGTTAAATGCAATGCAAGTAAGTAACTGTAGCTCCTTTCTGTTCCAAAAAAGTATTGTAGCTAATTTCTTTTTTTTTTTTTTTTTAGCCATAGTTTGGAAATTTTGTCTAGTGTTTATAAAGTGGGATAATATTAAAGATAAAGGTTACATCCTTTTAGACCTTTGTGTATGTTTCAGCATTTTTCACATCCTTGTAAGAGCTTCTGGAGCTCTGTCTTTATGGCAACATGAAGTGCTTTTAGGACTTGTTTAAACCTCTTGTGCTGCCTAGGCAGCTAGTGGAAGTACTTTATAACTAGAGAAAAAAGCAGGCAAAGTATCATTTTGTGAAATGAAGCAATTATATAATGGGAATAACAAAAGTATAAAAGACAGTGCTGGAGAGTGAGAACTCAAAAATAGATTTCAAAATGAATTGTTGAGTAAATAGTGGATTTTGACTGATAGTAATTGGAAGAAAGTTCAATTTTCTAGTTGTAGCAACACAGTGCGTGTAATTTCTTGCTGATCTTGGACATTATAGTAAGAACTGTTTTGTGGAGCGGTCTATTCTAAGTACATAAACGTGGGACATATATCGTCATGCACACGAGGAAGTTCTGCCCCTCCAAGGGTTATCACTCAGATCTTGAAGGCATGGAATTCTTTCAGGCAGCCTTTCTCCTCTCTTCTGTATCCCTTTGTGCTGAATTAGAGCTGCTGGAATCAGTGCTGCAGAAAAGCAATTTAGTGTGACAGTGGACATGTGGGCTGGCTCTTATTCAGACTCCCGGGACGTTAAAAGTCAAATAAATGTTTGCTGTCAGTTAACAAATTGTTAGATTTGTCTGCCTATTATAGTCTATTTTTTTTGATCTTGCCTGTTTGTTCTAAAATAACAAAAATAATGGAAAAAGAAATGTCACTCAAAACCAGATTTGGTGGTAAGACTAACTCCAGTGTAAACCACGAAAAGTGAGCATTAGAACTTGGTCAGTTTTTCCTTACGGAAAAGCAGCTATTTTCTAAATGTATACTGAAATGTAATTTGCTCTTTCACTGACTACCTCCTGAAGATCACATCCTGTTTTAAATAACTTTGAAGTGTACAGCACAGATTCTTTTCTGTCTGCTAAGACCGTCTCTGAGTCCTGTGTCTCCTCTTGAGTGTCACAAGATAGATTTCTGTGTGGTTTAGTGCTGAAGGATAGATGTATACAGATGATGAACTTGGTCACAGCTGAGTTCCTGAGCATAATTGCTCATATCTTTCTGCTGCCCTTTGCCATACGAAGCAGATATTTCCATGGTGCCTTTCTCAAATGGTAAGAGCACTCTCACCCCTTCCATTGAGTCAGGCAGGTTCGGGGGCTTTATTAGCTCTAATTGTAAATAAGAGCATTTGTTGAGAGATATGTGGTGAAGCTGATCTGAAAAACTTGTGTTCCTGTTTCAGTTAAGAAAGTTATCGTTTTTCTAGGTGCAACACAGAGAGTGACTGGTATCAGATCCATGAAAATATCATTAAAAAGCTGAACGCACGTTACAACTTGACAGGCTCCAACGCAGGTGAGCAATTTGCCACATTTCTGTTTGCATTCTTAGGGGTTTCTTAGTTTGCTAATGAAGTGACTCTATTTTAGAAGGACTAATGTCTATGAAAGAAATATATTTTCACATAGAGAAAAAATTAGGTGAAATTTAGGTGAAAATGTATGATATTGACGTTCATGTGCACATTTAGGAAAAAAAAAGTCACTGAATTTTCTTTAAGGACCTATGTAATTTTATTCTATGCTGAGGAGCTACAGTTTGCTGTGGAGTTCTGTTCACATGTGGGTATGATCAAATTCTTGATCCATGTTGCTTGACATTTCTGATTCACATTTTCATCAGGAATATAAAATTTACCATTGGCAGTGTACGTCAATTAAACTTCAGAAAAAAATTAAATGGGAGCTACTAGTGTGCTCTGCATTCCTAGAGGTAGTGTTGATAGTTAAGAGTTTACCAACAGTCCTCCATAGTCAGCTATATGTCACTATAACTGTCATCAAAATAAATTAGGGCATGAGATTTAAGAAATGAGAGAAAACAGACCTTTCTTATTGTGAGATGGTGGTTTGACCCATAGCAGAGGTTGATTTGCAATTTTTTGTTGGGGTTTTTTTTTAATACCAACTTGTTAACTTTTTCTGAATGCTGTCGTCCAGAGATGCAAACTTGAAATGAAACCTGAAATGGAAGCTCATGAGTCTCTCATCCTTGTATTCAAATATTATTTTGTCCCTGTGAAATGTTAATTAGTTGAAATATGAATGTAGAGAAATCTCAGATGAACTCATTTTCCAGATTATACTGTAGTTGTAACCCCTTTCATGTAGTAGACTTCATGCTCCTTTAACTTGATTTTGGGCATAATGATTATCTTGAAAATTTACGTTCAACAACCTTTAGTGGATAACCAAGAAGCACATAAAAGCTTATGTTACTTATCAAGACTGAAGTTACGTATTTAACCATTTTTAATGCTATTATTTTCTCAGAGAGAGTCTAGCCACATATATACATACATATTTAAGGTTTAGAATATCATGCATCCTATTGGACAATAAATGTAAAAATCATGTAGTGAAAATACAAGAGCACATTACTGAGTAAGTATATTGTTGGGCTTCTTAAATAAGTTAATCGTATTCATGAAGAACAACCTACTCTTGGTCATTCTGACTGTCCATGCAATATCTGCTTACTCTGTGATACATCACTTATCCTATTCCATTCTCATGAAATAAGAATTCACAGTTAAATACCCAGGTGCCCTAGGAGACACTGGATAAATTTGAATACTCTTAACTACGTGAATATTCAACATGAAAGGCATGTGGGACATGGATTTTTTTCCAGGTTACAGGGAGCTGGCAACTAAAGCTGGCAAATTGAAGGTCAGTTGCATTTTGAAAAGTGTTGCAGAGGGAGGGAGGCAGAGAGGAGAGCAGCACAGAATTCCAGTAGTGCACATGACGATTGAGAGGGAAAGATGAGGCAAGCGGTAATGCCACTTTGAGTACTGAGTAACTGAAAGACAAACTAGGAAAGGTTATTTACATCGCACACGTGAAATTTGTTCCTCTGTGACTGCTTAGCAGCCTGAAAAAGCACTTGCAAGATTTTAGCAATACGTTCAGGTACTTCTGCTGACACCTCATGGAAAATATTGTTGTTACGCTAGCCTGTATTTTAACTTTGCCATCTTTTTCTGTAACAGTATTGAATGCCTGGTTCTGAAGCTTCATTAGCCTTGTTTGCCACCTTATAGTTGTCAGAAAAGGATAAAATCTTGCATTATAGGAGACATGGGTCTTTTCTCTCTCTTGGAAACTGTTATAGGTATGAGCTAAATACCGGAAAACTTGAATTTTTGGTTTATATCGCACTTGCCCTTTTCAAATCACGTTAAAAAGACTTAAGAAAGGAAACACAGTAAACAAACAGCAAAGATGCTTCAGGCTGTTGTCTATCCTCTAGGCTTGTTCCCTCTTCAGATTTTCTCTTGTACAGTTTCTTTCAGCTCATGAGATTTTCACACAAAGTCTTTAGTTTTCACAAATTTTATGTCCTACTGCTGAAATAGTTTATCAGATAATTCGTAATACTCTTCAGAAAGAAAAAATCTTCCAGTTTTCTGGAGAAAATGGAAAAGTAACTTAAAATGTACTTTCAGTGTCGAGCATGCTAAACACGTATTGCCAGACTACAGCATTTTTATTTAGCATTTAAACCCCCAGTCCCCAAAAAAGCACTTTTGCTACTTCAACTCATGACAATTCTTAAGTACAGAATCCTCTTGCATCTTATTCTCAGTTTGTGTCTAAAAAAGATCAAATAAAGGCAAATGACCATCACTTCTTAATACAGCCCAGAAAGGAGCAGGGGACAGATACTGATCCCTCTTCATCCCTCTTCTCAATGGATGCAGGAATGGAAAGACTCAGTCTCATGGATAATTTAGCATCATTTGCTGGAGCGGAAACTGGAATGTGCATTTCTATTTCTATTTTCATTCCTTTTCTGTATGAATTTCCAGCATAGCAAAGACTAGACTAGCAGGTAGTAGATCAAATTCCCATTCACCACTAGTCTTTGCAGCTGGTGTCAGGTGCCAGCTTACTGGAAGACACCTGGTTGCCTAGTGTAGGAGATCATACCATTAATGCAAAGGACAAATTATACAGCCTTTGCTGCATATAGTAGCATTGTTATTTCTTACATTGGGTTCGTAGTATTTGTAGGATAAGTACTATTAGATCTGGATGATTTTGTAACTATTAAACCAGGTTTCAGTAATATGGAGTGGAACTGGCTATAAAAACTAATTTTCTTGTAAATTTTTTTTTTAGAATTGGAAGCTAGTTACTTGTTTTTAAATGAAAAATCTGTGAAAGAATGAATAGTCCTGCATAGAGATCGCACCTAATTACATCAGTCTTACAAGGAAAATAACACATTTCTCTCTGTATTTTTAGGACCAGAGATCAGTGAAATGTGTACTACAGATAGAGAAAACAGTTACTGGCTTCTCTCAAACCATATAAAATAATCTTCTGTCCCTTTATGATGTACTTTAGATAGTGAAGCTTAGCCAAAGTCATTGCTTTCATATCAAAGCTTGGGCTGCTGTCAAATGTCAAGATCTCTTTGTAGGGTTTGCAATGTGGGCCATAGTTGCAGACCTTATTATTTGGGTGTGACTGTGAAACTATACTCTGGACCTTTCTTGGGACTACAATAAACAAATAGTATTGGATGTGGGCTGCTTTTCTCTTTAACAACGCAGGCACTAATGCATAAAAGTGCCTTGTAAACTGTTATTGATCACATAATAGCTGCTTCATTTGCTCACAGAATTACTGTGCCATGAGTGAACCTGTTGATTTTTAAAATGGTTTGAAGTGCGTTTTAGGATGAGGGGCAAGAGAATAAGGCCAAATCTAGTTGTCATTAAACACGGTTCTATAAATAAATAAAGAAATAAAAATCAGAGAATGCTACTCCAATAGTGCATACTTATGCAGCATCAGAGATTTCTTTTTTCCTTCTGATTTTTAGTAAGACATGTGCAACTTTATGTTCTTACTTGTAGCACTACTTCTTTTCTTTTTTCCTCAGTTCTTTAGAATTTCAAAAGTTGAAGTGTATTTTGTTTAATACAGCACATGATGATGGAAGGAGTGTCTAGTAACTGGAACAGTGCTTAATGTCTAGTGATTGGAGCAGTCCATTGGGCTCTGAAGGTAGAGGATTCTTGTCCACAAAAATTACCCACTTATGACTGTGAGCAAATTACACAGTTAAACAGTGATGGTTCTTACTGTAATCCCTACTTAAACGCCATCAGCATCTTCAAAGTACCTCCTTAGGCACAAGATCTTCCTGTAGGCACCTACAGCTAAGGTAACTTCCATTTCTGCTGCTGCTTGAAGCTGAGAACAGGTGGGTATCTGGATGCACCCAGGACAGGGTCAGGATATGGGTGAGCTGGATTTAGCTGCTTGGGCGCTAGGCTGAAAAAAAACACTGGAGATGATTGCTGTGACTTTCATGCCCGTGCTACTTCAGGGAATACATAAATATTCACTGGGTTTACCACAGAAATTATTTACTACAGTGTTTGAGACATTCTTCAAAGACAGAAAATGTCTTGGTTCAGACTGTGATTTGGAAAAGGATTTTCAGTCTGTCTCGCATGTCCCAGATGAGCATGCTAATCACTTGGCTTCTCAGACTTCCCTGCAGCAACTATTCAGCTTTGTATACAATCAGAAAATGTTCGTTATACCATGGGGAAAGTGAAAGTGGCTCTAAAGCTTGCCAAGTGGTGCATGATTTTCCTAAGTGCGATCTCTATTCATGTCCTCTTAGCAAATCCTATATATGAGACATTTAAACCTTGGTCTAATGTTACATGTGAATATTCTCCCCAATGAGTTATCTTACAAAAAGCATATTAAAAAATTGATGAAAAATGCACAACAATTTCCTCTTTCTTCACCCTCCTTTGAGAAGAAAGACCGGATAGCTTTGTTTTAAGGAGATGCAAAACATTCCTTTTTGCTCCACTTTTTACTTTAGGTTCCTGACATTCTCATGTGTAAGCTCCTGTGTAAATGCCAATTTAGATCCCCTTGTAAAAAATGTTGAAAAGCTGTATGTGCCTCTCAGTAATTCCTGAGAGCCAAGACAAGGATAAACATACTTTTCAGTTGTTACAGCAGAGGTGAAAATCCTTTTCAAGTCCTATAAAGATTAAATTACTGGTGTAAGAAATTAGAAACGTATCTAGCTGCTTTGTAGCTTTGGACTCTTGTGTGGATTCCACAAAAATAGCAAATGTAATGGAAAGGTCTTTTCCTGTGCCATTATCTTGGAATGCTCTGATGAACTAGACAAGAGTGATGTAACCTAATTGCATGTTTACTGAACGCAGTGTGGCGTATTCTGTGGGTGCAATGCCAAACTTACATTGCGACACCACTGGAAACACTGTTAATTATACATTAACTTTAATT